TGAAGCTCTGTAGGGAGAGATCGACATCAGCTAACTGGCTGGGCAGCAGACTGTCAGATGGAATTGCTGAAGGTATAAATAAAGACTTTCAGTCACCTTTGGCTGTTACACAAAGAACATCCAGCCTAGTTAATGACACCTTTCATGGTTCAAGAATTTTCTCTTGGCAGGGCTCTTACGATAGTTGCCCAAAGATTGTTTTGTGATCGGTTACGAACTGACATTTGTATTAGCTCTCAAATAGGTCTTGGATTTTGGTGAGGAACATGAGAGGCTTAACATAAACTGTGCTTACTTATAAAAATTAGAATTGGATATATATTTGGAAGTAAGATAATCATAGCCTTAAACATTGTAAGAGTGATACAATTTAAGTCTTAAACTGCTTATTTGATTTTGGCAGAGTTTTTTATGTTCATAACCTGAGTAAATGTAGTGACATCTGTGCCCACACAGTACGGATTTTCCTACTGTGCTTATCTGCCTACAGCAAGTCACTGGGGCACTGTCCTGGTGAGCAGGATAGTTAATTTAAAAAAAAAAATAAAATCTCAGTCTTTAAAAAATTAAATCCTGAATATTTAAGAATCAAATTTAATCTTAATCCAATGGAAGTGAAAGCATGCTTGCGTGCAGCAGGGTTAGCGCACAGGAAGTCTGATCTGCACACTTTCATGTAGCTATGAGGACAAACTACCTCAAATTCCCTCACACTTTCCGCAGGTAACAGCATGTGTGATGGCAGCTGCTGCGGCAGAGCTTCTTACGGTGTTGCTGCCATCTGCTCTCTTCCTCTTCAAGAAAGACAGCACAGTGAGCGAGCTCAGGGAGCTGATTCCGCTGGAAAATCATTGTTTTGGGGGATCAAGACAGCTTTCCTCTCAATCACATCCTTGCAACGATGTAATTCATGGCTGCACAAGTGCTGCTGCATGTTCTGGGGATGGTGCAAAGAGCTTGAGTGTTACACAGCTCAGGTCAGTCTAAGCTGTCAAGAAATGGCGTTTTAAATCCTGACAAAATGTCACAAAGTAAATATTAAAAGGAAGCATTAGCATAATGATTTTATATCTGTGTTTGACTCTTATGTGTGATAAAAGACAATCTTGGTTCATCAGAGCTGATTGTTGCTCTAGAGATACCACCTTACTAGAAGTACCAAAATCTTGGTTTTCATAAAGTGGTTTTTGCTATCTGTTAGAGGAGAACCAGCACTTCACTAATACTTAATTAAGTAAAGAGTTAACATTCTTTTCTGAAGATGCTTTGTAATGTTGAATCAAGGAGGCAGTAACTAGTGGTTAAGTAGGAGAGGTTACACCTCTTTGGGCTTTCCATGGGGCTGGAGCCAGCAGCTGTTACACAGACTAGCAAGAGCGAAGAGGAGTCTTCATGGTGCAAAAATGACAGGACTGGATCCAGATGTGCTAAAAATTCAAAACCGTTTCCTATGCTGACAAATGAAATTCCACAAAACAGTTCACCTTCCACAGAGCAGACCGTCCGTGACAGAGTCCATAACGATAAGCTGATTAGAACCTGTATGTTTGGGGGTTTTTAATTGGAAGTACTACTGTTTGAAATGTGTAAGTGCTGTAGCTGTGTGTAACTTTAGCTTATTCTTTAATAGTAATATTCTTAGCAGAAACAGATGAGTGTCAGCAGGCAGCCCATATTTAACTATGTAAAATAATACTTTCTATGAAAAGAGGAGGGTGAGCTTTAAAATGGCGGCAATTTCGTCACTGACTTTAATGTTCTGTGCCATGTGCTGGAGATGCAGCCTGTTACACTATACCCATGCTTTGACATGGTTTTGTTCATTTTTATGGAATTTTTTTTTCAAACTAACCCAGCATCTCGTAGTGACAGCACAAATTAGAGTACTGATACTAAACCTGTTGCTAGTGCAAACATTGTTACATTTGTATGTATGTTGATGTTAATGTGTACACTTCGTTCACACAACAAACTGAAAAAAAAATATGTCCTAGAAATGGTGTTTACTTACTTAGTAGGACTCCACATGAGCAAAACTTTTGATGGAGTCTTGCCTTTCAGTATTTAGTGCCTTTTTTCTACCTGTTCTTTCATTGTGGATATGAATAGTAAATCCCTAATTATTCATGCTAGTTCTTTGCTAAAAACGATTCAATATTTCTGTAAGTAGACATTATGCCCATATGCTCTTAGAGAATTACTCTTGTATTACCTAGGAGTGAAAGAGCTGTTTTTTGGAACACAGAGAAAAGATTGCAAAGGAAACAACCATTTTCCCCTAAATCTAGCTGTGGTGATGTGGAGACATTTTATGGATAGTTATATTGGGGGAATAGATGGAATGAATAATGGCAGATAAAAATAAATGTTGACCAATATATCACTCCAATACAACATGTCATAAAGATTTGAAAGTACAGAATTATAAAAGCATAAAATACACAGAATAGTTAAAATTATGGCTTGAAATATATTGCCAGTCTTTAACCAAAACATGTGCAGCATATAGCAAAAACATCAATTTTGTAACAGGATATATTAGCAATAGATAGACGATCCAGTTAGAGGAGTAGTTACACAAGCAAGAAGTAGCTGCATGCAAAGCAAGGAAAATTAGTTAGGACACTGTGGTTTTTAAGGGCTACTGTGAGGTGTAGCCAAAGATTTTGCAGTGGGAAATTTGGTCTCCAACAGAGACAAATTGTGAAGTCCAGAAACATGTGGCAGATTTGTTTCCCAAAGGCTGTAATAAACTAGAATAAAGAATGATGTAAGGAATGATAGTGGTTGTTGACTTTTCTTTTGTTCAGAATTCCCTATAGTAAGACCCAGGAAGATAAGAGTAGGCTCATAAGTGTGTAGGCTTTTTTATTTATTTCAGTCTCACCCTGCAGTTCCATTAAGAAAAAAAAAAGAAAGGGAAAATATCAGTGCAGTATGTTTGTTATATTTGTACATCGCTCACTACCAGGGAATGTGTTATATTAAGACAAAGAAAGTAAGATAAGGTCTCTGAGTCTGCTTTGCCTTAAATTGTGTATCTGTGCTGTTATATTTCCATTTATTTCAGTGGTGCTATCCTAGTGTACAATTGGTTCAATAAAAGAGAGAATCCGTTTGAAAACTGGTACTTATAGCCTTGCGGCTTGTAACATGAAGAGTGCAGTAAAATAAGGCCAGGCCTGAGGGGATTAAAAAGCGCTATCATTAAACTGGTTTGAGATGATGACAGAGGTTATATTCCAATGCCCTTGGGATTTATAGTCTGGTTTTATTATTCTGATTAGGGCAGTCAACAGAGACTGCAAATAGATTTTCTGCATCGTATAATGAAGTCAAGGAAGAGTGCATGGATGGATGGATTTTCATCCATGTGTTGTTATGAGCTCTGTGAGGCTGGAGGAGGGTTGTATCTTCAAATTCAAACTTCTGTGACTGACAGCAATATTTTGTTTAATTTACATAGTTGCAACGTCCCTTCTATACTTTAGCACACGCATTCTTTTTTGAGATAGAAGTCGCTTGGTTTAAGCCCTGGAAAATCTATTGTGTTTTCTATCACAAGCTCCTGGAGAACAAAATTTTGGTTCAGGGTACACAAACTTCATAAAAATGTGTCATTCAACGTTTTTGTAATGTGGGCTAAGAAGGCTTGCTTCCTGTGTTTCCTGATGGGAAGACAGTCCCTCCTAGCAGTGCTGCTGAGCTTTTTGGGGATGCACAGACTGCCCATGATAGGCTGTCCTTGACTTGCCTCTGCATGCAGAGTCATAAAATCAGTGGATTTGAGATTAGAAGGCCTATCTCATAAAGACGATCTATACTAATACTAAGAAGGGATTCTACTTGAATAACTTGAAGAACAGAAAACTAGTACAATAGAAAAATCAGCTCTCCCAGCATGCTTGAAAGTGTGCAGACCACTTAGATATGACCACGTACACTGCAGCAGGAGTGGATCTGTGGAGGGAAATGGTTAGTCTGGCCCCCTGCGCTGTACGCTCTGGAGGGCTTTACTTCAGTCTCACTGTAGTCTGGTTCTGTGCACTGGAGGCACAGTTTCATCTGAGAGAAATCCAGGTTGTGCACTCAGGACCACTCTGGGAGACAGAGCAAAGTAAGGCAGGAGGGGACATTTGAGCAGTTTGCATTAAAGTAAATCCAAACTAGAACTCTGATGCAGATCCACCCCAATTTCCTGATGTCAAATCACTGTAACAATAAAGGAACCTGCACTGTTGAGATGTTCTAACCATAGATCGCAAAGAATTTTACAAGTGTCATTAAAGATGATTATAGCTTTTTAAGAGAGGTCATCACCTACTGGTTCCCTTGGCTTCCTCAGGAACTGAGAAAGGCATCTCTTCACACAGCAGTCAGCCCTTACCCAGAGTTTCAAAGTGACTGACAGAGCAAAGGCTAGTGTGGGTCTTATGGATCTGGCCCATAATCCTTTTTTTTTTTTTTTTTTTTTACTACACCATACTACAAACCTTAGCTTTCCTTCATTTTAGCATGCTTTCTAGTGTATTTACCAATTTTTAACATTCAGGACAAGAAAAGAAATAAAAAATCTGCCTGGTTGATGGTGTTATGAAGATACGTGGTTTTGCTTGCTTGCTGCAGATGCAAGTACTTGGCAGAGGGAGCTCTCAGTCACAAGTCAAAGAACAAGTCACCAGGAATAAAACCATCCTCACAGCTAATTCTTGCACCAGCTCTGCTGACTCCTGTCCTGCCTAGTCCAGGAATTCCAGCTAGGGATCCGTGTTTGTGCTTGGGAACATGAACAATCCCTTTGAGCTTACGCTGGAAAGTTCAGCTGTTGCAGCTTCTTCTCCCACACACTTCGATTTCTTTGTTGTGTATTTAAAAAAATAGGAAGTCCTGATGAAAACTCTTTCACAGACGGGGCAAGGCATGGCACCTCCTTCCAGGATCCCAGTAGTAGTGACTTGATTGCAAAGGCTCAGTTTCTGTCCTTCTTCATCCCAGAGGGACTAAACGCTTTCCTCTTCTTTTGTGATACTATAATCTGTTAGCAGCGTAACGCTGATTTCTGAGCCATGCGTGCTGCCCGTGACTGACAGGGCTCTGGTAGGCGTATTACTGTATGTAGCACTGGGAGGCTTCGTACGAAATTTTGCCTTGCAGCACGAGACTTGCTTTTTAAAATGTTGCCGGAAACTTTTACTCAGCCAATAAAGAGCAAAAGGATTGACGCAGGAATTGCTGAAGGCCAAGGCACGGGAAAAAATAGTAGCTATCAGATGAAAGGTGGAAGCATCTACAGAAGCATGGTACGTAAAAGAGCGGTATAGGTAGAGGATGTGGTTAGGCAACCAGCAAAAGGCAAACAAAGCAACAAGCACCAGCACGGTTTTTGCAACTCTCTTGCGAGATTCAATCTACAAGAAAATAATGCATATCTGGTATTAATAGCAATTAGTAACACGTGTTTATATAGTTGGTGCTGATCTTCAAAGGGATCTAAATGCATTAGTAACCAAAAAAGTGAAATGGAAAGAAAACCCCAAGAAACCAACAAAAATTAATCTATTTCATAATTTTTTAACAAAGTATTTCCAGTGCAGAGCACATTCCCTTTCCATTATAAATCAAGTGGCAATCTCATCTAGACTAGGGTTTGAAAGTACAATAGTTAATGTGTCAGCTCACATGGATGAGGTCTCAGTGTTTACAGTTCAGCGATTTAACTCCTGAGTTTAACAGGGTCATAATAAAGCAAAACAAACCCCATCCCTCTTTAGGAAAGCATGCACACTCACAATTAAGTTAACAAGTCATGAGCATGTGCTTAAGTGCATAGCTGAGTTTGGATTGCTAATATGGGCTGGGTTTTCAGAGCTTTTACTCTATCATCAGGTAAAGGGTTTGCACTCAAGAATTCAGCCTTAATCAGCCTGATAGATTTTGGAAAATTAGACACTTTAGTGCTTGATCATAGCTTACCTGCTTACGGGCATGACCATATTCTTCTGCTGGCATGTTGGATGTACTTTTATATAAAGTTCTGGCGATAAGAAAATAGTAGACGGAAATGACAGCTAAGGGTACAATATAGAATACTAAGAAGCAAATCAGGGAGTGAACTTCCTGCAGGATCTTTTCAGAGACTGGATAGGGGGCACATGCCTCGAAAGTTACATTTTTCTCAGGATTGCTGAAAGAATACAAATCTGAAAAAACAGCCTCTGGGATAGCAAATATCATGGAGACGATCCAAACACAGCCAGCTTTACAGCAGGTCTTCAGGAGCGCATCCGAAGTCTGCAGTTCCAAGGGCTTAACAATGGCTCTGTACCTAAAACCAACCAACATCATTGTCAGAATAAATACAGAAAAAATGCAAGCACTGACAGTGCAAACTTCCTGAGGATGAAGCCATCTCTGTTCTGGCTAAACTAAGGGCGGTAGAATTGTCTTGGAAGAGAGAACAGATACTATCTCTTTGTAATTAACATGGAAATGTAAAAGTTAATTTTAAGCATGCATTTTAGTGAATTGACTGGCAGGACTTGTCATTAAAGCCTTCCGAAGTAAAGATGACTTCTACAGTTTGACTTCTCTCCTATTTTCATGGCACTGCCTAGAAAGATAAAGGAGGACATTAATATGTGAAACTGGTAAAGGTATGAAACAGTTTAACTATTTTATAAATACATGAAACCAAGCATGTACACCCCTCCTTTCTTCCACGTTCTTAAGATCTCTGCTGAGTGCAGTGATCTGACTCAAAATAATGTTCCAGTATTGATTCATATTTATAAAACAGGAGTTAATGCTGCTGTTGATTCATGGCTGTGATTCTGCAGCGTGTGGTCTGAGTCAGACATATGAGAAAAATCTTGGTAAATCTATAGATGTGGGAAAATCTGTGTGGAAATGGGACATGGAAAAAGGACCAACTGCCATGAAGGTGGATGAAGCACAGGAAACAATGTACCCTGCTCCCAGAGTATCAGGGACTCTCAATGATGCAGAAAGAAGAGACCCCTACAGGGGGGCACAAGACTGGCATGAAAGGAAAAGCAGTGAAAAAGGATCCAGAGGATAAGGCAATTTAGTTGTACTGTTCTGCACAATCTGAGGATCTGGTCTTTTTCTCCTCTAGGCAAATTTAAACAGAAAACTGCAAGCTAGACTGCTGTTTGTCAAATAAATACCATTTTTATTGACTTCAAGTTCTTCTAGCTTACTGGAACATGATAGTCTGGCATTGCACACATGACTGATGTTCTGAGCTTTCTCAGTAATTTTACCATATAGTTACCCTGTGAAAATGTAGCATGGAGTATTTACGTAACAGCTACCATGAAGAATTAAATACAGAACCAAGTGTCTAAATCATAGAATTATAGAATAGTTGGGGTTGGAAGGGACCGCTAAAGGTCATCTAGGCCGTGATGGATTCTGAATTGATGTCATACAGGACCAAGACCTTGGAGCTATGATAAATAGTTCAGTAAAAACATCATCTTAATATTCAGCAGTAGTTAAAAAAACACACCAAACCATAAAAAAAAAATCACAAAAAGGCAAAATGTTAGGAATTATTAGGAAAACAATAGAGAGCAGAAGAGACTATTGTGCAATTGTCTGTATCTGGTTCCTGCAACTCTTGAGCACCATCTGCTGCTCTGCACATCTGAACTCAAAAAAACCCCATACTAAGGATGGAACTTAACATGAATATCCTGGAGAGATGGATAGGGGTCACTGTCTTTTCTGGCACAAGAGCCAGGGCCATCAAATGAAGCTACCTTCAAAGCAAAAAGAAGTTGTGTTTATGCAACAGATAGTTAAAATCATTGCTAAACAAGTTCAAGAAGAGACTGAACGAGGATCTAGAAGAGAAATCCATTGAGGTTATTAAATAGACAGAAACCACATCTGCTGAGGAGGTCATCTGAAGGTTTAGGTTGTAAGTGTAGTGTTGGATAGTGGTTTTTATTCTTCCTATGTCTTTTTTCTTGTCCTTATGCTACCACTGCTGGTGGCTGGTATTGGCCTACATGGACCCTTGGTCTGACCCAGTGTGGCCATTCCTGTGTTGGCTGGGCTTTTTTTGGAGTACAGTAGCATTAGCACTTAAATTCTGGACACGTGAACTACTTGGTATTACATACAATCCACAATCTTTGCATACAAGATGAAAATCTTTTTCTCTCTTAATACTAAAATTCATTTTAGGTTTTTCTGCTGCTTGAAATGCTCATGCTGATTGAACTGAAAGCTCATCTTAGTTTTGTTCGTTCAGAAAAGATGTGCATGGGAAAGTGATTTTTCAGCAACTCCTGACAGCAGTCAGATGGGAGCACTGATCCCAACTAACAGTGCTGTCATTGTAACCTGAGTTTAATTTCAGGACCTCTGGGCTAAAATACCTCTGGAAAAGATATAAGAACTATAAGAGAAAATATTCAAATTGTCATGTCACACTAAGCACTTACCAAGCTGAAAATTACTGTAGTATTGCAGTAGCCATCAAATCATGAAAGTCATTCATTTGTCCCCCAGTCTGTTCTGTGTTTTCTTTTGGCATTTTACCTCATGTGTCAATCTTTTACATTCTAGGATTTTAGAGCCTCACTATGCACTTTGTGCATAGGACAAAGGATTTCCACTCAGTCATTTTCACAGTTTTTTCGTCTTCCCTGACTACTTTAGTGCACCACTAGATAGCACCAATTTGCTGTCTTTCCTCTGCCTTAAGCAATTTCCCTTTTCTGTGAGGCTGAGAAAAAAATCTTGTGCTGGACTTCAAGCTAATAAAAGGTCAAGAGTCTTTCTCACTTCACTTCAGTAAAATGAACTGCTCCAATTTTTCTAACACACATTTTAATATTAAATGGTTATTTATTATTATTTTTAGTTTATTACAAGGTGCCATTCAATATTGTGCAAAATTATCATTTCTGCTCTTTTATTCATTTCTAACTTCACACCTGCGGTATCTCCTGGCAAATCAGTCGCATCAGACCCACCTGTCAGCACTGAGAACAGTCAGGGTAAACACTGATACTCCAACTGAGGTTAACTGGATAAAAGACAGCAGCTTGCACCCAATTCTTCCGAAGAGCCAGGTATCCACAATATAACGTGTTGCATCTACAGGCACACAAGTTAATAAAAGCAGTAGGTCCCCAAATGCCAGGCTGGTGATGAAGATGTTTGGAACCGTCTGCATTGATTTAATCTTGAAAAAGACTTTGATGAGTATAGCATTTCCAAGGAGACCCACTGAAATGATCACAGCGTACGTAACATAAATTGTGCACAGTATTTCTAATCCTGGAAAGGAGTCTTCAGTCCATTTTTCATTTGTGGTTTCATTATCAATGATTGATTTCAGTTCTGTACCGTTTGTAGATGCACACAAAGTCTGATTAGCTGAATGCAAGTGTACTTGAGACATTTCTTTAACCATTTCTTCTCCCCAAGCTGCACTTAAATTGATCAAAAAAATGATTAATATTTAGCTTGCAGCATATCAGCAAGGTTGTGTCTTAAATTAAGATTCCTGTTGCACATTAACTACTTCCATCCCCTTCTGGGTCTCAAAACATGCCTAGGAGAAATGCAGACAGATCTTGTTCTGAACTGTGTAGGGGGTGGAGAATTCTTTTATTGGCTCTTCAGCTAGTGGAGCAGAGAGGGAGGAGGAAAAAAGGGAAAAGGGGTTTCTTTAAAGATATTAGCTGAAATGATGTTTTTTTCTTGGAGATGTCTGGCAAGTAAATATTGTATTGTAATTACTGTAACATTAGGGTTCGCATATTACCTAGAAAATGTTTGTTAATATTTTTCAAAATATTCTAAAAAGGAAATAAAATGAAAATCTGAAGTAGTTTTCTCAACAGTACAGATAAGCATAGAATATACTAATTTTACACAAAACTCTACAGTATACCTTAACAGCAGATAAAATATCTCAGAATACAGACTGTATTTGCTGAAAAAGCCATAGAGACAGCCTGTGCTTCTATATGCTCTGATTAGTCTTTCTATCACAGAAATGCAGTGACCTTCCAAAAGGCAATATAAGATCAAAATTTATGGCCATAATCCTGCTAACACTTACATTAAATCTTAGGATTGTCCCTTGAAACAGTCCCATTGCCATCAAAACCACAACTTATGCTGAAATTTTAACAGGTTTATAGATAGTTGCTGTATGGAAGCCTTTTATCTTGCAATAATCTGTGTATTTGTTGGCTTTGGATGGTACAACTAATGATTCAAATCTGGGGGAAAAATAACTTCTCATGATGCTCTCACAATCAAACATGTTACTAACATGGGTTTTCTTTAGATCAGACAACAGTCAAATCTTAAACTCTGCTCTGTGATGTACTCCTGACTAACTTTAATGTAAACTAAGGTACCAGGAACGTGACCTATTGAGTTAAATCTCCTGAAATTAAGAAAGCCAAGATCACATTTCTAAATAGTGGAAGTGGAAAAGATACCAAAGGACTGAGCTTTACGCCTTGAAAATGAAGATCAGTAGCTGGAGTATTTTTTCCTCTGTATTGTTCTTCAGCTGTGACGTTCGAGTGGAGAAGGTACCTTGCTGAAATCACAAAAGCAATCTTATAGCCAAGTCCCTTTATCATTAGCTGCACACACAGACACAGAAACACAAAATCAAGTTTGTTTCATTTCCTCAAAAACCTCCGCTAAGTACTATGCATGAAGTCTGATTTTCCCTTTCCCAATCCCAATCCTTGCAAACACAGCTATGGCATAGGTATCAGGTGGTGACAGACTAGGTGGTAGATCAGATGGAAGACCAATGCTGTGGTCAGTTGGAAGAAGGAGTCACTGATACAAAAAGGATGCATGGGTTAAAAATTCCAATTACGTTTTTTGAAAGTGCTTTTAGAAGAGAAGTTCTTGTCACGATCAACCATAATATATCGTTTTATGCAGGCACAGTATGTAGGTTGTTCACAAATTTAGATGCCTTTGAGGATGCCCGATTATGTTGTCCACCCACACTGGTGTAGTACTGTGCGTTATATTTAATATAGAGTTCAGCAACTGTAGCAGATTGTGACAGCTTAATGTTGGATAGTTACATAAAATGTTTAGGTTTGCTGTATAGAAGTAGGGTATCACCAAACATTGGGAACTAATTGCTAATACTCAAGGGTGCCATCTGAATGAAACATCAGGTGTTTCGCTGAAACAAACTTGTTATTTGCTTTGAATTGCACTAGAGGTTGGTTGATGCACCAAAGTTCAGCCGGCAGCCTAGATCCCAACCTTTACCAGTCCCAGAGTTTTCAGAGCCATCCGAGAGATTAGGGCTGACAACTTGAAATTTAAGACTCAGTTTATTCTGTCACTCAACCATTTTGTACAGCAGGGTAGAGGACCTGAACTGATATCCCTCTGTGTAAGAGGAGACTGGAGACCCTTGAGCTATGAGATGCTCCCAATAGTTGGTTTGGGGGATGATTCAGGTATGAAGGGAAAGGTGACAGACCTCCCAACCCATAGTTAAACCTCCTGAGGACACCAATATGTGCCACAGATGAAAGCAACCCCAGAAAGCAGCAAGGGCTTACAATTCTGTTTACTCCTTGTACTTAATGTGCTGTTTATTCCAAACTGGACCTGAAATCATAGATCTGAACCTGAATGCTCAGTCTGATGCTACACACTTTAGAAGCCCTCATTACCTAGAAACACAGACACATTGTCCCTGCTCTCTCTTTGATAGGGCACAATACATATGTCTAACCCAGGTCACAGCAGCATGAAATTCTACTTGGTTTTGCCTTTCTAATGAGAGATTGAATTTTTCCCAGCTTTCTGCCTCCTTGGGGGAATCTGGCAGAAGGAAGCACCTTCATTTCTCACAGTTCTTCCTACAGTCCTTGTATTAGTACAGGTTTTAGCTAGGTATCCAGGTTCTCTCTTTATGGAGCATAACATACTGTCTTAGTCGATCATTAGGAGGTGTAAAGTATTATTTTGAAAAAGCACACAAAATAACATTCTCTAGACCCAAAAAAAGCCTGAAGGACGATAGTAAGCATCAAATATGCAATTTGTTTATGATGGTAGAATTTCAGTCTTTCGGTTCATCAGTTCTTTGTGATCTTCATTAGTGTCATGGGTAGAAACCAGGCAGGAGAAAACACACTGTCTTTTTAACAGAGATTCCAATAGCTTCCAGTTGTGCAAATCCAGCTGAAAAGGAAGAGCATGGCGTAATTATTCCAAACAGTAAACAACTCTAAAGTGTTATTTTAGAGCTCTGTCTTCTGGTGCGAAGAGAAAAGCGTTTTGGGTAATTCTGGCTATTGTTTCAAGTACCAGGCTTTGCAGAAAATTAATGTTCCTTTTGAACTACATGCTGCAAAAAAAAAAGTATGAGTAAAATACTCAAGAGTATAGAATTTAGCTGTATTTTTAATGCAAATTTTCCATTTTAATGCAGTGTGACTACTGAGTTAAGTCATTTCCATGTGCTGTGTAGTGTCACCCACTCAGAAAAATCTGTTTCAAAACCATTTGCTCTGCACCAAGCCAAAATATGGAGAAAATAGCCAGAATCCTAACTCCCATTAAAGAAATGAATTTTCCAAAATTGTCATTATTTTGTGTAGCATATTTTTATTATTTCAGTATATGCTGGTCATGCTGCATTGATCGTTATTTGTACAAATACATCAAAATGCTTTGTAGCTGGAGTGCTAGGAACAGAAAACTGACACACACTGAACTACAGCTATATTAGCGAGCCTGGGTTTTTTAGGATTATTTTAACTCACTTTCTTAGGTCGTTATTTGCATCATTTCTGCATAGGACTATTAAGTTGTCTTAATTCTTCTTTTATCCCTCAAACTCATTTTCGACCCTTGCTTTGATTGTCTCTTCTAGCAATTTTGCCATCTGTTTATTGCTGGCTGATGTATCTTTCTTTCTCTCCATTGAGCAAACTGACGTTTATGTTCTACGGGTGTTAACGGCAGAGATACTGAACAGCTTGTCTATCCTAGTCCTGAATTTTGGTAGACTCTGTTGTGGCATCCTCTCTTAGAAAAGCCTTTTCTCAGATTAAGATCTCTTCTACAGATGAGCCTGATGATGTCCACATGCCCAAACTGCTTAGCACAGAGCAGGACTCTGCCTTTGGGTCACCACAGGTACATTCCTCTTACTCCTCCCTGGAGGTAGAAAACTGATTTGAAGTGTAGCAGTCTGCCCAGATCAATGTGAGTCTTTCCCTTCCAGAAAATCTCAGTAGCCTTCCTTTTAGGTTATCTTCTTTTGACATAAAGATGAAGGAAGGCTTTTTGCTCCTCCATCAAGAAGTCCTGACCTGGAGTCTTTCAACAACTCTAGCTTATAAGACAGACTCTGCAGTTATAACTAGAATTATGTTATCTGAAATATCTTTTTCTTCCTAGTGGTTTCCGAACCGACTTTGCTGCCTTTGTGTTGGGAAGAGGAGTCCCGGTTCTAGAGACAACATTCTCAGGGACGGGTGTGTGTAATTGCCTTGTTTCTGACTTGCATCTGTGTTGCGGGTTTAGTGTCTTCTCTTTAAACCGAAATTGCCAATAGCATGACAAATAATGACAAGATGAGGAGACAAAGAGTATCATAACTCACATCAGTAGTAAGAATGAAGCTTTTATCTGACAGCTGTTTGATGGGCTGTATAACTTGTGTGACAGTTCCAAATCCATTTTCTAGCGTTTAGTCAGGCAAGTATTAAATGGGAAAGCCTGAATACACACTCGGAGTGAGCGTCGATGTCAGAGACAGTGGTCCACGTTTAGAGCAAATTGCTAACACATCCAGGGCTGTTTCCGGTTCTGCTCTGTCCTACTTCGAGAATGGGCATGAGTCATTTCCATGTGCTACATCTGAGTCCCTACCTAAACAGAGAGAACATCACCTCCCCATCTCGCCAGGCATCCGTTTCGGAGCCAGCAGTGACAGGCAATGGGGAGGGAAGTTGTGTAACGCACTGTCTGTGCTGGATTTCTTCACCTGTGAGCACAAAAGCTTGGTTTCAGTGTCTGTCAATTCCCACTAAGTGGGAACATCTTGTCTCTCCTGTATTTTGATTTTTTACCATTGCCCAGTATCCTGAGCAGTTGGACAAAAAAACAACTACTGAGCTATTAAAAGGTGAAATATCTTTTTAGGACACTCTAATGACAATTTCCTTGGCTATGTCACATTCATAGCAGAGTGTAGCCATTCATTGTCAAAGACTACATTTAGGAGAAAAAGACTTTGGTTTATTACTGATTTTATGTCCCTATCACCTGTATGGAGTTCATTCTACACCAAGGGCAGAGGGAGCTGTGCAAGCACTGAGACTCAGGGCATCAAATCCTGCAGTAATATTTGATTGGAACTGCGTCCCTGTTTTTTGGAACTGAGGA